TCAGCCTGAGAGCGAAGCCCATACGTCGTACATCATTCACTCACTCGATCACTCACACATTCAATCGTTTGCTCGATTGTATACTACACTTCTCTCTTTCTCTCTCCGTATTTCTCTCTCTCTCTCTCTCCTTCTCTCTATCTGTATCTCTCTCACTCATGCAGACCAAAATGCAGAACACACACACACACACACATACACACACAATTTGCAATATAATAAATAATTTGCAATATAACAACAAATGCAGACACACAAATGATTTTGCATACTATTTGACCGTTATCACTCGACCGTGAATCATTCAGAGGAGAAAAAAATGTAAACAATAAAAGCTTGATGATTTTTTAAAAATCGCAGACGAACGCATTCCTGATTACATTTCATTACATACATATACGCACACACAATTGGTGTTTGTGACTATGAACCAATTTCATCGAACACAGTGTAAGATCACAAAACAAAACAGGCCGGTTTCTGTTCACTTACCTATCTAATTATATGTAAAAGAGGCAGAGAAAAAATCAACGACATGCACAGACATGATTTTTACATATCACTTTTGCTTCATTTATGAGAATGGTTTGTTTATTTCACGCTCGATCACACACATATGACTTTAAAAATATACAATTACATTCTTTATTTCACAATTTCGTTCCTTATTACGAAATTCCATTTGGTGTACATCTACTATATAACAATAAGTTAGGTGGACAACATTTTTCACCTCATTTCAGCGGTTTGTCTTATTCGTTGCAAAGAGAAGGTAAAGGAAGAGAGAATAAAAAAAATATACATAAAAAGTATTAAAATTACGTTTCTAATTATACCCGTACATTTGCTCTATGTTTCACCACTGAAAAAAGTTCGATTTAAGGTTCGATTTCATGCAAATAGTTCGATTTAAGGTTCGATTTCATGCAAATAGTTCGATTTTAGGTTCGATTTCATGAAAATAGTTCGATTTTAGGTTCAATTTCATGAAAATAGTTCGATTTGAGGTTCGATTTTATTTAAATAACAAACATCTAGTGATACAACTTAGTTCAAGTTGAACATTCAAGCAGTAAAGTTATCTTTAGAGCTACATCATGCGTTTGAATACAGTGCAAAAGGCAGAAATTTTAGCTAAATTGAATGATGGTGTGAATGGTAATCGTTTAGCAAAAGAATATGGCGTTGCTAAATCCACGATTTCATTATTAAAAAAACGTAAATATGATGAAATGCTGCAGCCCAGCAAAAGAAGTGGAACTTTTAATCAACCATCGAGTGCGAGCGTGAGTGATAATGAATCAAATCGATCAAACAATACATCTAATGAGGACGAAGTTGATGATGAAGTCGATGATAATTTTGATAGTGATGAGAGAGTTGAGAAAAAATCACATATCTTGCCAATTTTCCGTCAACTCAAACTGTATAAACCATCGACTGAAATGGATGAGAATGAACATGATGACTATGATACTACTGACGAATATGATGATGATGAGGAGGAGGAAGACGAGAGCGAGGAAGATGAAGAAGATGTCAATGAAATATGTAGAAAATTGCGGCGTGTATGCGACAATTTGTATGTTCCGACTCAATCATTGAGTGAAATGTTGAAATTAATTTCTAAATTACGGAGCGGTGGCTACATTGAGGAATCGTTATAAGAATAAAGTATATATTGAAAATTGTAACATACCATGAAAACAGATAAATAAAACAAACACGGTATATTTTGACAAAAAACAAATCTTTTTATTTCATATCTATGTATGTATTTTATAATATATGTATAAAGCAATCATATGAAAGTTCGATTTGGAACCAGTTTTCCTTCGAATTATACAGAAATTTTCATAAATTTACATAAAAGTGAAAACTGTCTTATGAAAATCAATGAAAACTGTCTCATTTTTGTATCTTATTTACTATTTTTGCTTAAAATTATATGAAAATTTACGTTTCACCTAACAATAATTTTTCTCAATTTCACTAATTTCATGATGACCCCAAGCTAGCGTATCAATACCATTCGAACGAATAAGGTAACGCTTATCGTCGAACGGATTTAAGGCAACTTTTTTCTGTTTAATTGTGAATATTTGATGTGATTTCGAACGAAGGTTATGCTGTTCACGTAAAATATTACAATTTTTCTCGATACAGTCAACATAATCGCTAAATGCAATATTACGTTTCACTATATTCTTTTTGACACCTTTAGACTTTTTAATAACTTTAGATTTTTTATCGATGTTACAATTCTCTTCGATGCAGTCAACATAGTCACTATCTGTTATAACGCGAGGTGTGACAGCTCTTTCTGGACACTCACATTTTTTCATTTTAGCTGTAAACGGTAGTACAGCGTAGCATTTTGCACGTAGACCGACAAATTCTGCTAAAATCTCTCCGTTTAATTCATCTTTGAAAAGACCGGGCACTTTTTTATTTCTTTGAGGCATTTTGAAAACATTCTTCTCCGGATAATCGCTTGTATCGTAGCGATTCAAGTGTTGCTTCATATCATTGTAGAAATCATCCGTTTGAATGGAAAGTATGAAAGAGTCGGTGTCTGTATAGGCAACCGTACAATTTTTTCCATATTCAGGTTTCAAAAAGTCGTACAGAAAACTGTACATCGTTATTTTCGATATGTCTAAGATGGACATACCGATAATTATTGGTTTATTCATTTTAATATGAGTTTTTTGTAGCTCAATTACTGCTAAATCTTCATTGAGTATTTTGCATTTCTTAAAATTTGGTCGAGCAATTAACATGCCTGCACCACATCGCCCACCCCACTTGTTGACAAGTTTGATATTGTTACGATTTATCTTCTTAGAAAAATCAATTTAATTTAATTCCATATATTTCGTTATTAAAAGGCAAAGTATTTACTCTAATATTCACT